TACACTTATGGGCTTACGGCTTCCCAACGTCCAGTACTACTTCTAGATTGCTCACCAATCATTAAGCAATTTTAACGATAATTTCGCACAAAGAAACTTGCAAATCCCACCTGATACTTGACCAATTGACTTCTTGAAATCTCATCAACCTTCCTCTAGCCTTCTTGCTCTTTCCTGGTATTGTACGCAAATTCTCTTTATTACGACCGTTGAGACTTCTCCTCAAATTCTCTAATATCTATTCGAACTTCCATTAAACGTTCTACTTCCTTGTCTATACTCGGTTGGTTGAATGACTTACTCCTACAGCTGGTTCCGAGACTCTAGCTCTTAGCCCTGTAGTTCCAACTTATTACAGAGGTTCTTCCTTCTGTCACCCCTCATGTACCCTAGACGGCTAGATGCTCCCTTCATTTAGGATAGGACAATCCCATAACAAATCATCGTGAACCCTTGCATTCCCCTTTCAATGGTCTTAACGACCTCCTGACCTGTTGTGATCTGGGTAGTTTGTAGGGTCTCTCATATCCCAATACATCCTCTTTCTAGCTCGACATTGTTCACTAGCACATTGTTATTCTTGATCCAAGCTCGTTCTCTACCTCGATCATCTTGACGCTTGTCTTGTTCCTTTTAAAGGCTTGCTACCAGCCTAATTGCCCAGGTCATGTACCTTCTTCGCGAGTGACGTAGTTTATATACAAAGGTTCCTTTATCGTCATTATGTAGATGACCATGAATCCTCTCCGCCTTGACCTTTTAACTTCTTGACGTTCTTTCATACCGCATGTAGCCTACTTATTTCCTCCTTTGCTTCCTTTATACTACCCTAGCATTTCTTAAAGTCTAAACATTCCTCTGCTCCTTGTCACTGTGTTCTAATGGCGTTGAGCCATCGACCACAAAAACTAGCTGAGGGACTTCTCGGGGTACCTCTTCGTTCCTTGACTCTTTGCTTTCTCGCCACTGCTTAGGGTCAAGGACCCTAAAATTCTCCCATCATTATAGCTACTAACATCTAGTGATTGTTCCTCTTCCTTTGGAGATTCATATTTCTCCCCTTTATTTGTCTTAGCTTATTAGATGATCCACTTGTTTCCTAGTAGTAAAATCCTCGTGCTACTCTCTCAACTCCTTCAAAATCCTTGAGGTATTCCCTTTCAATTGGCACCTCTTTGCTGGTGTTTGGAGTTGAAGTCCTCGCACATTTGATTCTACCTCTACAGACCTTTGCAGCGTTCCTCCTTCCTTCTCTAGGTTGATGATGATGATCTGTTTGCTAACGTCCGAGTAGTTGGTTAACTAATTGAAGAACTACTATCCATCATGTCGATGAGGTACTTGGTCTTGAGAGCCTTTGAGATTCTACTTGGGTTGGTCACGTTTCTTTCATCCTTTCTTTCTTACTGGCGATCACCATATGCCTAAATCACTCATTTGACAAACCACAACATGTTAACTAAATCGTGTCCTAGCCTATTCTTAAACAATCGCACCCCGGCTACCATCCCTTCGTGTCGTGCCGTCATAGTTATTCACCTTAATATGATTAGAGTAGACTGGAGATTCTATAAACTCTTAAAAGAAGATCCTTGACTCGTTTTCCTTTCCTTAAAAACAAAAGCCTTTAAAACTGAGACCGATATTCCAGTATTCCTTGGAGACCAAGGAACAGAGGAAGAACCAGGCTTTGATATCAAAATGTAACACCCTAACCCGGCCGGGTACCACTTTTACTAAAATGCCCTTGACAAATAAAATACTCAAATCTTAAATTTCAGCGGGAAAAATTTTCATAAATAAAATACTGAAAACACATTTGTAGTTCAAAGCAAAGCCCTAACACGTGGGCAAATTAAACTCAAACTTTAAATCTCAATCTGTTCTCCAGTCTATACTCGTAATCATAAAAATGTAAATAATTAGGTAGTCTCTGTCGTTGCTGCTACTAAAAATCTTTACTAGGCATCCTCCGCGACGCTTGCACTGCCCTCCTCTAGCTGGTTGCTCTCGAACTTTTCCTCTCAAACTCGCTGCTCTCTAACTGCTCCTTTAGCTAGCTGCTACCGATCTGGTTCTCGCTCATTCCCTTACTATGGCCTGGTGAGTGAGTTAGGGTCAGTCTACGCCCTTACGTTTTAATAATTCTAATACCTGAGTACTTTACTTAAACACTTGACTTTGACTAGTGGAAGTTGTTTGTACTTCCAATCTTAAAATGTCAACTCTTAAACTTTGAGGGAGTTGAAGTTACTCTCCTCTCTTAAAGCTCAAATCTTGACTTAAATACTTGACTGACACGGGGATCCCTCACTAGCTAGTCCGACTGCCAACTCATATGTATGAGAAGCCATTCACGCTTTCATTAAACTTAAACTTAGTTAGGTGTTAGAAACACGTTTTCTAAGGAAAACGAGTTTCTATATTATCATTATTATTAGGTTTTATTAAATATGGTTAGTAGTCTTTTAGTAGAATTAGGTTTAGTATTAGGTTTTCCTATCTTTCGTTATAAATATGTACTTTGCGTTTTATTCATAATCAAGCAAGAACAATTATTCAGAAAAGTATCTCAAAACCTAATCTCTCTCAAATTCGTCACCTATCCCTAGGCCGTCGGCCATTCTTCTCCTCGATCCCCAATTTCCTCTTCTAAATCCCTAATTCCCCAATTCTGTTCTTCCCCAATTCTATCTCAATCCCTAAATATCTATCAATTCCCAATCTAATCACTCGATCGTTAGAACCCTAGAAATAGGTTTCTAGCATTTGGTATCAGAGCCTGGTTTCGAGAATTGAGTTTTTCACAACTCTCAACCGGGGACGAGTTCTACAAATGGTTCGACGATGAGCTCTTCAAAGCTCTCGAACCTGTCGTGGGCAGAGCTGCGTGAACGGACTCGGCGCATCGGCCGTCGTTGGAGCTCCGAAGAGCTGCCGACCGGGAATGCCGCCACAACAGAAGTGGAGTGTGGGGCGAATCGACGGGTTAATTTGTCGGCACCGCAACCCTCTACGGCAGCGGCGCAAGCACCAGCAGCCCGATTCGAGCCGATGATGGCCAAAATGTCGGAACAAGAGTCGGATATCGCCGTTGGGGGATCGCCTCCGACTCGTCGGGGGGAGTCGACGCAAACTTCGGATAGGGCGCGGCGATCGACGACGGTTTCCGCCGAGTCTTCGATCAAAAGGGAAGGAAGGCAGAGCAGTGCGGCGCCAGACTCGACTCCCTGCTGCCTGTGTCCCGCATGACGCCGAAAAGAGAAGAAGTGACGAGTTTGGAGATGATAAAGAAACCGCCGGAGAATGAAGCGTCGCCGAAGGATGAAGGGAGTAAGGAGACGGCGATGAGCAGCGGCTGCGAGATGAGGAAGCAGAAGGCATAGCAGGGTGGTGGCGGCTGGGTTCCCCTTCTCACGAACCCTAGGTCTACTTCATTGGTGCAGTGGGGCACTTCCGAACAACAGACATCACAGGCCGGGCGGGTCAGTCGGGCTTGATTTGGCCGAGCTGCACAAGTCGAGCAGGCCGAATGTTGGCCAAAAGAGTGGGCCTGCTGTGGGTCAGTAACGTCATGAGGGCAGGCCAAAAATTGGGATCAGTTGGGCCGATCAGATCAGCTAAATGGATCGAAATTAGAATCTCAATGGGCTGAACATGGATTAAGTAATAGGCCGAGTCATGGAAGGCCTAGCAGGCCTCGAGGAGATGATGGGCTATGTCATGAAAGGTTTGGGATTCAAATGGGTTGTTTAGTTGAATCTCTATTATATGGTGTGGGCTTGGAAGAAATAGAAGAGGAATTCATGGGCTTAGAGGATGGGCTCAAAGAAGAAAAACTCTATGATTCTTATACTGTGGAGTTTGAAAAGGGTGATGGAGGGATATTTGATCATGGTTGCAACTTGCGTCGTCACGTGGATTGGGAAGAGGCCATTGGAGTCGGAGTCGCTGGTGTGGGATTCGTTCAAGTAGTGGAGCACAATTGGAAGAAAAGAAAGTGCAAAATGGAGGAGGCAAGATGTGGATTGCACGGTAGACTTGAAGAAATGGGTCAAACTGATCAACCTTGAGGGCAATGTTGGTCTCAAGGAGGATGGGATGTTAGAAACACGTTTTCTAAGGAAAACGAGTTTCTATATTATCATTATTATTAGGTTTTATTAAATATGGTTAGTAGTCTTTTAGTAGAATTAGGTTTAGTATTAGGTTTTCCTATCTTTCGTTATAAATATGTACTTTGTGTTTTATTCATAATCAAGCAAGAACAATTATTCAGAAAAGTATCTCAAACCCTAATCTCTCTCAAATTCGTCACCTATCCCTAGGCCGTCGGCCATTCTTCTCCTCGATCCGCAATTTCCTCTTCTGAATCCCTAATTCCCCAATTCTGTTCTTCCCCAATTCTATCTCAATCCCTAAATATCTATCAATTCCTAATCTTATCACTCGATCGTTAGAACCCTAGAAATAGGTTTCTAACATTAGGAGAGTCGTAACGATTCATCCCCCTAACATCTTTAACTTATCGTGGTGGCTCTTCACCACGATTATCAAGAGCATAACTGTTGCTCAACTTAAATATCTCAAGAGCATAACTGCTGCTCTGTCTCAAAGATCTCAAGAGCATAACTGATGCTCTATCTCAAAATGTCTCAAAAGGCAACGGACTGGCGCTAGTGACTAAGAACACTTAAAACGACTTCACCTTCTTGAAGGGCTTAGGATACCGTGAGTAACCAAAGGTTACTCATCTATCAGTAATTAAATGAGGAAAGAGAAAAAACATATTACCGTGGGCTGGGAAAGGGGCATTTTTGTCCAATTTTTTCAACTTTATTTATTTCTTTTTTTTATTTTTTTCCAGCATTTATATGCTGGCTTTTAATTGAGGAAAGAGAAAAAACATATTTCTTCCTCTCTTTTTTTTCTTTCTCTTTCTCTCTTCTTTCTCTTCCTTCTCTCTTCCAAATACCTTTTTCTAGATCTAGATCTGTTCCCTTCTCTTGTTCTTCATTTTTTTTCTCCAATCGACAAAGAAAAAAATTGCAGCATCCCCTCTCAAATTCGGTGACGCTCCAAATCCTTCTTCTCTCAATCTGGTCCATCCTTCTGTTCTTTCTTTTCTCGGTCTCAAAATAGATGACGCTCCATATTGACCAAGAGGGGATAGATATAGGTGAGTTGAGTTTGCATATTTTGTATTTTAGTATTTGTTTGTGAATTAATTCTGATCTTCTACCTCGTTTTCTTTCTTTTTGCATTTGGTGTTCTTCATTGTGGAGGAGAAAATGAGAGGAGACAGATGACAAATTTTTTTCCTCTTCCTCCTTCTGTTTCCCCTTCTTTGAGAATATATATTGATACTATCACACTATACCATATGGTAATGTGTGCTAACTAAGTGTATTTTTATAGTCACGAGTTTTATCATGGTGGTAGTGGGTGGTAATCGACACCAGTTCCGAGAAAGAAGAGTTAGAAGACAACGAAGAGAGAGAAGAAAGTGAAGAAAGTCGTATATATATATATATATATATATATATATATATATATATATATATATATATTGAGATTACCACACTATATCATATGGTAATGTGTCCATAACATATGGTAATGTATGGTAACGAAATGTATTTTTATGAATATCATGTTTTTACTATGGTCGTAGAGGGTTGTAATTAGATTTACATGGTTTTACCTTCTCATACCATGTGGTATTATATGGTAATTATAATTAATTTGTGGTCCTTTGATTTACCATGTTCTACTATGGTGGTATTGTATGGTAGTTAGATTTATAATTTTCTGTAGTGTGGTTTACCAAGTTATACCATGTGGTGGTAGTTTGATTTGTAATTTTATTTTAGCATGTTATACCATATGGTATGGTATGGTAATTAGATTTGTAAATCTCTGTAGCATGTTTTACCACGTTATACCATGTGGTATTGTATGGTAGTTAGATTTTTAATTTTCTTCAACATATTTTACCATGTTTTACCACGTTTTACCATGTGGTATTGTATGGTAGTTAGAATTCTAATTTTCTTCAATATATTTTACCATGTTTTACCATGATAGTAGAAAGTGATAATTATATTTATACTTGTATTTAGTGTCTTTAACAATGTATTATTTAACGAAAAAATCATCATTCAATTTGAGCTGGAATTAGTTTAGAGATAGTTAGGATGGTTAGATTCATTTTTGTTGTAGATGGGAGAGAGAAGAAACAATATATTTTTTCTTTTAATAATAAAATAAAACAAAGAGTGAGAGAAAAGGGGAACCAGACAACCAGTGTGGGGTGGGGAGTGGGATCCGCGTCGCGTCAGCGTCATCATTAAATATGGGGTGCAATTTTACCTTAGTGCCCCTCCGTGTTTAATTTAAATAAAAAGAAAAAGCTGACACGTGGGGACATATGATTGGATTACTGACAGTTACTGATAACAAGGATACTGACGTGATCTGGTCCCTTCTTGAAGGTGAGTTACTTCTTAAAAAGAACTTGTTTCTTAACTTTAACAATAACTTATAAACGTAAAGCTTTAAATTAAATAAGAACTCATGCACATTCACATCAAACATAGCTCAAACAAAATCACATATCATAAACCATAAGCACAATCAAACAACGACAATCACTTCATCAAAATACTTAAGACTTGTAATTCTTGAAAGAACACGTAAGGCGTAGAATTTACCCCCTTTACACTCACCTTACTTCTGTCGGAACTGGCTCTGATTTTTGCTCCAATGATTTCATACTTGCTTCCAAAATAACTCCTACTTGCTTGAATAAAATGGAGCAGCTTGCTTAACAATGGAGCAGTTTGCGTCGGTGGGGATGGCAATAACAATGGACCAGCTTGCTTGACAATTAGCTCTCGTAGTGGGGAGGAGGGATGGCAACAACAATATGGACCAGGTAGCTTGGTGGCTCTCAACTCAGAACGATGTAGCTTGGTCTCTCACAACTCTGAATGAGCTTGCTTAAGGTAGCAGCTCTCGTAGTACTGGCCATCGCTCTGCAGCCAAAGATCCGAGCTCTCGCACTAGGGAGGTGGATGGCAGTAACAATGTGAGACGAGGTAGCTTAGTCTCTCACAACTCTAAATGAGCTTAAGCAAATAAAATGGAGCAGCTTGCTTAACAATGGAGCAGTTTGCGTCGGTGGGGATGGCAATAGCGATGGACCAGCTTGCTTGACAATTAGCTCTCGTAGTGGGGAGGAGGGATGGCAACAACAATATGGACTAGGTGGCTTGGGGGCTCTCAACTCAGGACGATGTAGCAGCTCTCGTAGTAGGGAGGACTGGCCATCGCTCTGCAGCCAAAGATCCGAGCTCTCGCACAAGGGAGGTGGACGGCGGTAACAATGGGAGACGAGGTAGCTTGGTCTCTCACAACTGTAACTGAGCTTGCTTAAGGTAGCAGCTCTCGCAATAGGGAGGAATAGCCATCGCTCTGCAGCCAAAGATCCCGCTCGGCCTTGCTCTCGGATAGCAGCTCTCATAGTAGGGAGGGCTGCCTACTGCTTTGCGGGCACAGATCCCGCTCGGCCTTGCTCTCGGACGAGCTTGCTTAAGCTAGCAGCTCTCGACGGGGGGCTTGCGAAGATCCCGCTCGCCCCTAACGTTCAGTTCTGGCGCTTTCTCCCCGCCGCCCTCATATCATGCCGAACAGGATAGCGAAGACGGTTTAGGTTTTAATTAGATGGTGCTCTCGGATTTGGTAGGGATTAATTAAACTAAGGGGGTATTTTTTGGAGTTGACGTTTAATTAGGAACCGGTGAGTTTAATCCGAAGCTCGATTAATGTACGTAACTTTCTCATTTGATGTCGAAATTCGACACCGCTTGAACCGATAGTTCACATTTTTAGTCCTCCTCGACATTACGGTGAAATTTGACAAATTTGGACCAAGGGCATAATCGTCATTTTGGCTTAGAAAAAAGACGGGGTGTAACATAAGGGATTTGTTGTAATCTAACGATATTAGGTGCAGAGATGATGAATGAAGTATTAACTCGAATGATGATGATAAATTGATAATCATGGATGGTTAGTTTATTATTATTGCTTATATATAATGATAGTTTATGATAGTAACAACATATGGTTATGTTTATTCATTAACAAGATAATTATTTTCATGTAATGTTATGTTATTTGGTTAATACGATTATCCGATTAACCAAATCAATTAAACTTTGGTTTGATTAATTTGGTTTTCGGGCTAATTTGGACGGGTTGGTTAAGATTATTCAATAGTTAATGAAATTTAGGCTTAATTGGTTTGGTTATTACCACTATAACCATTTGAACACCCCTACCGCTGAGTTTGGAAAACTCAAAGCCAACCCAACTCGCTGGGTATCCAGAGGTTCATGAGTACTCGTGGATTTTTATGGTAAAAAATTTGCAATAATTAACAAGAAACTATCAAAATAAAAATTGAGCATAACTATCGGCATACAAACTATCAATACATAAAACACTATTCTAGAAAATTCAAACAAATCACACACTATCCATATAAATTGTTCAACACCAATCTAGAAAATTCAAGAAAATCCGCAAATTATCCATGACGATCATCATTTTTATCCAAGTGTCCATAAGATTCCAGAGTTGCAGATTAAGGCCATATATACATACATCAATATATAATTATATATGATTATATTTTGTCCAAAAAAATAAAAACTCAAACTCACTAATCTTAATGCAAAACTTTGACCCAAACACTCCAATCTCCATCGTTAGCGAACGCACCTGCCTCGAGTTCTGGGGCCCCAAGAATCTGTTAAGCCACTACAGATAGCAAACAGTCTATAACTTAAATGGACGGAATGGCTCTCTTTTCTAAAACCCTAAAAAGGAATTTTGACCAATGATCATCCATCATATACGTACATAGATTTGATCTCGAGAACGGAGAACCACAACTCCGCACACCATTCTTTCTTCTTCTCCAACATGACCAGCAGCAGCAGCGTAGCCTCCGATCGTTGGCGCGGAGCAGAGGAGGAGCAGGGGGAGGGAGGTAGGATGAAAATCAGGTCTGGCGCCCGCCAAGAGTGGAGGCAGAGACGGGGAGTAGAGGAGGAGCAGGGGGAGGGCGGCGGGAGGGAGACGAGTTTCGACGGTGGCGACCGTCGCTATTGGAGTCGGGACGAGAGGGTGGAGGGATGAATGCGGTGGGATTTCTGTTTCTGGGAGATGGGGGAATTTGGCATTTAGTAAGTGTGGCCGGGTATCACGAGTCGGGTACCCCAAAACTCGAACCCACCCCAACTCGTTTAACAAGACACCGGGTTTAAATCAAAACCGGCCCAAACCCTGTCAACACGGGTTTTACCCGTTTTGAAAGGATTGGGTGGGCCGGGTACCCACGAATTCTGGTTTCACTGCCATCCTACTGTTCTGCTCTTGATGTAGGGGAATTTTGGGGTGGGGGGGGGGATTGGGGTGGGGTTGGAGAGAAAACTTTCCTGAAATAAAAATAATTCACTGGAATCACTTTATTCTTTCTTCCTTTTCACTCTTTCTTTCACACAAAATTTAGTACAGAGATTGGAAGATAGAAGCACAAAGAGGGCTAAGGCCCAAAAGTTCCAACCAGGTTGGTGGTCATACTAATTCCATTTTGTCACTCCTTTCAATTGAGCACTGCACTAGATGCTATACCCCTTTTTATTCTTAGTACACTTGCGAGAAAGCATAGAACTATGCACCTTTCCAATGGTCTAACCAAGAGAATTAAGGTTGGCTCACGTGCAAACCTGTCCCAAGGTTATTTTTTGAATATTTTTAACCTGGAATATTTCGAAGAATCAAGCATGAATGTATCTCCCCAAGCAAAGCACACACTACAGACCTTAACATCAGTCGGGAAAGAGAGGCAAAGATTCGACAATTCAAAGCAAGTGATAACGAAGTATTCCCTAGGTCTTACTTGGGCATATCATTAAGGTTCCAAGAAATTCTCTAAACCTTTCAATTCACATAAAACATATTCAATCAATAACAAACTTCCTCCGGGTTGCTTTCGCATCAAAGACGACTATTGAGAGGAAGGGGGATAAAAGAGATGGAGACCGAATGGACTGATAAAACCTAAAATTGGTATTATTTAGCCCTAATTCCATAGGTGTTTCCATGAAATAATCATCATGTTTGGCTAGTTAAGTTCGATTTTGTGCTATATCTTCCTCCTATTGACAAAATGCCAAGGTTTAGCATGTCTCTATCATTATATAGCCATTTGGCATGAATTTTTTTATTCTCATCCTTTTCTAGGCTAGGTTCTATTTTCTCTCTCTAAATTTCAAGTGCTAGTAAGATAAGGAAGAGAAACTCAAAGTTTTGTGCCAATTGGAGGTCGTTTGAGGGGTGAAAAGATGGTGGAAAACAAGGCCTACCAAAGTTCATGGCCGGGGGGGGGGGGGGGGTGGCAAAAGATCAAGATCGAGAACTTCTCCCCATGCCCGCGAACTTCGAGAGGAC